TGCAAATGTGGAACGTTTATTAATATTCTCTACCCAGTTACTATAACATATCAATACTATTATGCCTGTTTCGGAAAGTCCTAGAGGAAGATGATTTGCAATTTCGACTAGGCTATATCTTGATCAAACAAAACCACCTACATGGCTTGCACCACTTTTAGCTGAACCAATCTTTCATGTACATATTTAATTTGCAAATGTGGAATGTTTATTAATATTCTGTACCCAGTTACTATAACATATCAATACTATTATGCCTGTTTCGGAAAGTCCTAGAGGAAGATGATTTGCAATTTCGACTAGGCTATATCTTGAGCAAACAAAACCCCCTACATGACTTACACCACTTTTAGCTGAACCAATCTTTCATATAATATTTTCCAAAGTACTATACATGTTATCGACCAATTTTCCACTTTTGAGAGATTTTTTAGTGCTGGTAGCTGAGGAATAACTTTCATATTGTTCCAAAAGGCTTGAGACGTTACTGTATTTCTTTTTATAATGTAGAAGTACACCGATTGCAGGAAACGATGATGTCTGACATTTCAAAGAAAAGACAATTAGTTTTTCATTAGGCCTAATGTAATGGACAACTCTTTCTTTCTTAAGGAATATCTAAAAATGTTTATTTTCATACCCATTGATTATGTAACCTGAACAGGTGACTCAAGCAGTTTTAAAATAATGATTGTTCTGTGGAACTTTTGATTGTTTCAAACAGTTTTGCTTATCAAAAAACCTCAAGTAATTAATATATAAAAAATCATACAGTCACTAAAAATCATGAAATAATTTATTTTTGTAAAAAAATACAACCGACTTCAAACGCTCTAAAAAGAATGAAATAATTTCAATAAAGTAAACTTTTGTATTAGGCAAGCTCACGTATTTCAAGTCGGCGCGGCTCAAACTGCAAATATGATTGAAATTAAATATTGTGTGTGTATTTTGAAAATCAATAAATTGTAGCTGGATAACATAAATATATAAAAAAACATACTGAACTGTTTTGTTTATATATTAAAGGAAATATTTTCTTGTATTTTATGTTTACTTCAGAATAAATGCATTATGAAAATAACACACACAAATGTTCTATATGAATAAGAAAATAATTTAGTTTGATATTATGATAGGGAAAATAAGCTAGTTTGGTATTAAAACGTTACTTTTCCATGTTAGAAACATTTAAATGCGTTATAATCTTTTTAAAGATGCTCGTTAATACCACTATAATGCCGATCTCTGATTACGGTAATAAAATAACACTGAACGCATAACTAAGTCATAAGTCATAAGTTCTTTATTCCAAAAATAACAAAAAACACATTGTATTGGAAAAGTCATAAAAATAAACAATAGTAAAAACTGAAAAATGATGAAAAAGATGAATTATGAAAAACTATGAAAAAGACATGCAGATTAACAACTTTAGTTATAGATAGTCACCTGCAATATGGACACCCTCTTTCAATTTTGTATCAAAAATCATCATAGACTTAAAATACGTGAGCTTGCCTAATACCAAAGTTTACTTTATTGAAATTATTTCATTCTTTTTAGAGCGTTTGAAGTCGGTTGTATTTTTTTACAAAAATAAATTATAAAATAAAATGATTGATATAGAAAAGTAACTCCAGAGATTTTAATTTATAGTAATTATTTCAATATTCAAGACTTCTATTTGTCGTTAGGCATATACAATGATGCATTTAACATTGGCAGATTATATTAAAACTAAATATAAATCTTTCTATAAAGCTAAATATTATGGGACAAAGTGCAAAATTAGGGTTACTGTATTTTAAATTATGTACATGAACCACGCCCCTTAAATCAGGGATATAACTTTACAACCAATTATCAAATATGTAGCAGAAAAAGTAATACCCTACACAACTTTGACCAAAATTGCTACTTATTTTTGCAATAACAGATATTTTACCATCCGGGGAAGTCTTTAACTTCCTAGCAGACAGTATGGCGCCAGTATTGATTCTATCTTCAGTAGGTGATTTACATTTATGACAGTGTGTGTTTGAGATGGTGTTGAGCTATTTACTACATTTCTTACATTTTATGTTAAATATTAACTTTTCATAACTTCATCATTAACAATTAGTTAGGTACCGTACAATATAGTTCAACTATTGTTAGTATTGTCAACAATAAATAGATAAATATAATTAAATTTTATAATTAAATCTCTACATAAATAGTAAGTAATAAGCTAAGTTTGATGCGACAAATAATATACCAATAACGACAGCTTGTTAAAGCATAAAATGGTTTGAAAATAGGTACATTTCATCTAGGCCTATATACTTGCTAGCCACAATTAACCGATTCTTTACAATAATTACAAGATATTCATGTTTAGAACATTGAAATCAACAGCAAAATTTTAAGACCCCTAATATTACAAAAAACAATCAGAAATAGAGGGTCTTTTTGACAGATATAGTAAACTAGCTGTACCCACGGGCTTTGCCCCGTTTAACTTCATAAGTATTCGCATGAGATTCATAAGATCAATCACGTTCCGGTTGAAGTTCGTTCGCTACGCTCACTCACCTTTAGGTTGGAGCTCGTTCGCTGCGCTCACTTGTTTTCAGGTTAGCTCGTTCGCTACGCTAACTCGCCTCCAGGTTGATGTTCGTTCGCTACGCTCACTCACCTTTTGATTGCAAATTAGCTGTTGTCATAAATTTTAAAAAGTCATCCCTTTTATTGTTTATAATACTTTGATAAAGGTTTTTATGTTTTAATATTTAACATTGGAGAATTTAAACGTTGTTAAGTGCACAGGTGTGCTGCGATTGGGGTTTAATACATTTGGACTTATTCAAAAGTAAAATAGTTTTCTGTGCTGCACTCTGTAGAAACACTGTGGCACTATTTCAAATCATGACTAATGCTAATACAGAATGTTGTAATTATTCAAACCTACAAAACAGTTGGTAAATGTAAACATCTGCTTTTAAATTATACTGTATTTATTTGTAAACATTGTAGATCAAAAAGTCTGACATTAGCCCACTTAAAACCCTCTGGGGCAGAGCCCTTTTGACAGATCTGTACCAAACTTCACTCGAACCATCCTTGAAAGATGCTTAATAATGCCTGAAAGTTTCATTACAATCTGTCGAGCGGTTTCGGAGTCCATAACGTATATACATACACACACACATACATAGTTCTTCTTTTATAGATATAGATTATTTTAATCACACTTACTTAGGAGATTTTAATCAGCCTTAATTTATATTTTAAAGAAAAAAAGTAAAAACAAAAAAATACTGGCTTCTAAATTTTTAGAGATGATTTCAGTTGGAAAAATCAATAGAAGGTTGAGAGGTTCAGGTCAAACAGACTGCAGTAAATTCAGTTCATTAAGACTGTTAACTCGACCATCCTCTCAGGAAGACTAAATCTATTTCTAGCAAACCACTTTACGATTTTCCGTTAAGAATTACTTTGTCATCAAGGTAGAAGTGTAATTTATTTGTAACTAACTTATGTAATTTTATTGCATGAGTTATATTGAATTTTAACCCAAAACATAATTTAAAAGGCTAAATCATACACATTTAATCGTAAAAGTTTTAGATTACCTATAGCCTACAAAACTATTTCCCCAAATGTAATAATGTTTCTTCATAATATTGCCAAACGGCTAAATCATTTTCCAAAATAAACTTATCACACACTTTTTAAATAAGCTCCTTGTTTAAACAATTTAAAAAGTGTGTGATAAGTTTATTTTGGAAAATAATGTAATAACTTATATAACCAGTACTGTAGCTGCTATCGATTTAATTTAACTATCAGTAAGTTATTAATTTAAATATGAAAGTAAGTAAATTGTAACTAACAACATTATTTCACAGAACATTTTGAGACATGCATACACGTAAAAAGGTGTCCAGTTAGTAAACAGACAAATTCCAGAAAATAGTTGAACGGTCAAATTATCAATTATCAATCATTGAGATGGGGACGCCACTCCAAATGTATCATGAACCCCTATACTATACCACAGATTAAACATACTCCACTCACTATAGGCTACTATACACCTAGGTCTATACTATAATCACTATAAATTAATTATAAGTATTTAGGCCCAATACAAAGTTATGCACATTTAATTTAATTATTAGCTATAAAATACCAATTTCTCCTTCTTCACAAAACCTGGTAGGTATTCTCAGAAAAATTTGATGTTTAAAATTAAGTTTAAATGGTCCGTAAAATTCAACTTTATTGAAGTAGGTAAGCTTATCCAAAGAATTTTATTGTAATGTACGGTACTTCAATAGTTTTATTTCTTACAACATAGCATGAGTTGTGATAGTTGAAATTATAAAACTTAGTATAATATTTATGACATGTAACTTAAGTATCATCAACTTATGTACTGTATGTACCAAGGCTAACTTAATTGTATTAAGCATTATCATTCAAACATAAGAAAAAACTGGATTAGCAGATTAGGGTTTCTTTATTGAAAATTAGGATTTATAGCCTACTATAACTTTCAATCATTACAGTACACTATATTAGAAAATTTGGCAATTTTACATTTAAGTGGAATTATTTAGGCCTACCTAAAATCTTAAACATCAATATAAATTAGACAATGTACTTTTTTAGGTACCTACCATACATTTTTTTATTGTCATACAATGTATTGCTAACCCACCGCTGTATTTCAATTTTATAATTAGTTTTTTTTTTTGCTAAATTTTATTGATGTCTATAAAACGGTGTTTAAGTAAACCTTAAAACTTAATATTTTAAGACTTTTGTATTAGGATATAGGTGATTAGTACAGAAAATTCAAATTTAAATCGCCCTTAGAGAAGTTCCTTGTAAAAGATTTGTTGGATTAAACACCTTTACCTATATAAAAACAACTGGTAGGTGTAATTTAGTTTGATAATTGTTAGAAACACTTAGAGCCAATCGTGCAAATTACAACTTTTACTACCTACCTTTTTGACAAATTTCTGTCCCCCACAAAGTTCCAAATCAGCAGGTGAACAAGCATCGTCAACAGACAACCAATTTTTCAACTTCCCGTATACTAAAGGAGGTGCTGCCATAGTTGCAGCTTGGTAAAATTTGGTGGCAGAATTTATAAGAGAACTACCTATTACTTCTTCAGACACTTCTTCTAAGTAACTCATTTCTTTTGGAGTTAACTCAAAATATTACAATCATGCAATGATATTAATAGTGTATATTAAAAACTATAAAAGTTAACTTTTTAAGTCAATTTGCTTTAAAAAAAAAATAAGGCTAAGTTACTATCTGTTACTAGACTAGCTTAAATTGAATAAATTCGCTTTGCATTAGTCATAAAATAAGACATAATATGCTCCATTCAAGTCTGGTTACTGGATAACCGAGAACACCTCCCTCTTCAAAGGCCCGATAAAAACTACCCATATGATGACCTTGACACAAAGGTTTGCTAGGGGGTGGAATAGGGAGGATATCACAAACGGGCCTGGTACTAGAGCGCATGTCAGAAGAACTATAATACTAGAGATTGGCCTTAGTTCGATATTTCATGCACCGATTACATATCTTGAAATTAAAATATCAAGTTATAGTCAATTTGAAGTCGGTTCTGTCAGGAATATGTTGAATCTTGAATCCGTCGTCTGCTGCCATATCCTAAAATATTGGTAGATAAGAGCTAAATGATTAAAAAGTGAACGTATGGCATAATAAAAGTATTATCCATAGACTCCGTTTATGAGAAGAGGATTCATCTAAAAATTTGACAATGTAAAACTTCGCTCTAAAATTATCGTTATGTCCGTAAAATGTACAACAAAAACCTAACCTAATTTCAAAGTAAAATTTGGAAGACATTTTACCTTTTTGGTAGCAGGATCGCAGTTGATGTTGGTCATCTTTGGTTGGGCCATTGTAAGATGTTGAAATATCTGGTAAAATGATCACACAATTTAAGATAAATGATATTTGTGGACAATCACTGAAATAAACAAAACATATTCACAAACAACAGAAATCGACACACACATATGTTGTCGTTGTCGTTGTCATTAGTCAAAACTGATGCCTTCTGTATCTCCATCACCATGAACTCACCAATTCGTTCTAGATTTGAGTGAGTCTCACAACGTCGACGTTCCATTATGTCGAAAAGCCATTCTGTCTCTATAAAACCTACTAGGTGGCGTTCGCAGATGCATCCACAAAATTGAGCGGAGTCATCAAGGGTTTATATTATATTGTTTTGGTCATACTGTTGTTTTTGTCATGGTTTCAGTAATACCAGTCGTTTTTAATGCATGCGTTGCGAGTCTAAAGTAGCATTTTTACTCTTTAGGAAGTAAAAAGTTTTTATCCTCTATGGAGTAATAATCAGCTGTTGTCAACTCAGTTGTAAATTTCTATTATAAACGATTGCATGTATCGAAATATGTATAAATTCGTGCTTCGAAATTATTTTAACCTACAGTCTACAGTCTCTTCCCATAGCGTTTTAGCATTGCAGATACATTAATCAATTCACACGCTCACCTTTACTACTTCCTTCACCACCCCCTACGTCGTGGACCTATTTCCCTCTCTTCCCATAGCATTTTAGGATTGCAGATACATTAATGTAATTGCCAAAGGCAGTTTCCACACTCTGCACTGCAAGCCTTCCTTCACCATTTCCTACGTCATAGACTTGTTTCCTTCCCTTCTCATAGCATTTTTGGATTAAAGATACATCAATCTAACTGCCACAGACGGTTTTCACACTACGATCATACTTTACTACTTTCTAAGCCTTTTCCTACATCGTGAACCTGTGTTCATCACTTTCCATAGCAATTTAGTATTTTAGATACGTTAATCTAATTGCCACAAACACTCCCTACACTCCGCACTGCTAGCCTTTACTACTTCTTTCACCATATTCTATGTCGTGGGGATGCTTCCATCCATTCTCATAGCATTTCAGCATTGCAGATACATTAATCTAACTGCTACAAACGGTTTCCAGTTCCCACACTCCACACTGCTTACCTTACTAATTCCTTCACCACTTCATACGTCTCGGACCTTTTCTCTCCCTTCCCATAGCATTTTAGGATTGCGGATCCCCTAATCTAATCATCATAAACAGTTCCCACACTCCAGACTGCTCGCATTTACTACTTCCTTCACCACTTCCTACGTCACGGACCTGTTTCCCTCTCTTCCCATAGCATTTTAGGATTGCAGATACCTTGATCTAATCGTCTTAAACAGTTCCCACACTCCGGACAGCTCGCCTTGACTACTTCCTTTATCACTCCCTACTTCGCGGACCCGTTTTCCTCCCTTCCCATAGTATTTTATGATTGCAGATACCTTAATTTAATCGTCATAAACAGTTCACACACTCCGGACTGCTCGCCTTTACTATTTCCTTCGCCACTTCCTACGTCGCGGAACTGTTTCCATCCCTTCCCATAGCATTATAGGATTTCAAATACCTTAATCTAATGGTCATAAACAGTTCCCACACTCCGGACAGCTCGCATTTACTACTTCCTTCACCACTTCCTACGTAACGGAACTGTTTACCTCCCTTCCCATAGCATTTTATGATCGCAAATACCTTAATCTAATCGTCATAAAAAGTTCCCAAACTCCGGACTGCACGCCTTTACTACTTCGTTCACCACTTCCTACGTCACGGACCTGTTTACCTCCCTTCCCATTACATTTTATGATTGCAGATACCTTAATCTAATCGTCATAAACAGTTCCCACACTCCAGACTGCTCGCCTTTACTACTTCCCTCGCCACTTCCTACGCCACAGACCTGTTTCCCTTCCTTTCAATAGCATTTTATGATCGTAGATACCTGAATCTAATCGTCATAAAGAGTTCCCACACTCCGGACTGCTCGCCTTTACTACTTCCTTCGCCACTTCCTACGTCGCGGACCCGATATCCTGCCTTCCCGTAGCATTTTATGATTGCAGATATCTTAATCTAATCGTCATAAACAGTTCCCACACTCCGGACTGCTCGCCTTTACTACTTCCTTCACCACTTCCTACGTGACGGACCTGTTTCCCTCCCTTCTCATAGCATCATAGGATTGCAAATACCTTAATATAATGGTCATAAGCAGTTCCCACACTCCGGACAGCTTGCCTTGATTACTTCCTTCATCACTTCCTACGTCGCGGACCCGTTTTCCTCCCTTCCCTTATAATTTTTGGAATGCAGATACCTAAATCTAATCGTCATAAACAGTTTGCACACTCCAGACTGCTCACCTTTAGTACTTCCTTCACCACTTGCTACGTCGCGGACCCGTTTTCCTCCCTTCCCTTATAATTTTTGGAATGCAGATACCTAAATCTAATCGTCATAAACAGTTTCCACACTCCAGACCGTTCACCTTTAGTACTTCCTTTAACACTTCCTACGTCACCGACCTCAAGCTAGTGGCGTCATTTGATTATATTTATGATTCATACCGTTTCTGTTCTAATATCTGTGGAATAATGCCATCAGCTATTTCTTTATCTACTGCATTCAAAAGTCAACAGCTGATTATATGTCTTTGTTTATGTGTCAAATACTGCTTCCATAAGGATTACATTGAAACTTTAAGACCCAGTGGGGCGGATTCCTGAGAGTTATTTTTAACGCCATATAGATGTTGGCACTCACCGATATGGTCTTAATCACCACCCAAAATTTGAAAACGATTGATTCAGCCGTTTAGGAGGAGTTTGCGTATTACGAAATGCATAAGAGTCGACGTATAAGAGCTTCGCTCGCTTCGCTCGCTCCGCTCAATAACAACCAATGAACCCTCACAAACTCCTAAAAATAGTGGACAGGTATACAATGTCTTTTCCTTCCAACGTGATACAAAATAGTCCTATATCGACGAAGTGTTTAACTAATTCATAGTCTTAGCAAACTTTTCATTGAGGAATTGTCGTTGCTCTCATTGTAAGGCCGCCTTCTCGTTAAGCCGGGTTTTCCTAGGCGCGGAATCGGCGAGCGGAGAGCGGACTCCACTTGTCTTAGGCAATTTAATGTTACTGTTTTCCTAGAAGCGGAGCGGAATGCCATGTTAATTTCAATTCCGCTCTCCGCGTTCCTCTCTCCGCTCTCCGCTTCCGCGCCTAGGAAAACCCAGCTTTAGGTCGCAGCCACTACAGTAGATTTGTAAATTGCACTGAGTCTTATGGAGCCCTTCACACTAGCGGGTCGCAGCGCAGTGATTTACTTCGGTAGCAGCTGGCAGCGACCGTACTTTTTCATCGTCATCAACTTAACCACGGCCGCCTTTAACTCGTAGTGGTCCATTACCCTGGCCCTTCCATATAGGGAATAAGCTATTACCGTAGTGAGGTAGTACTCATGGTAAGACCTGGACCCGGGACCGATTTACATTTTTGTTTTGAGGTCCCTAGAGGCCAAAAACACCATCTGTTCAAATTCATATATATATATATACCGTATATTAATAAATAATATGTAAAATAACATGAGTACCCTTTTTTATATTCTTTATACAGTGTGTAAATTAAGTATGGAAACAAATCTGTATTTTTAAAACCGAAATAGATAGAAATATTCTATTTGTGGCAATAATAGTTAACAAAGATTCCGCAATTTTTCACATGAAAAATATTTTTTTACCCCCCTAACAGGGTAGGTGGTAGGGGGTGACTTATTTTTTTCAAATAGCAACCCCTATTGAGTGACCCCTCATTTTGAAGAGTTTGTCAAAAGAAACACAATGACGCAAATCCGAGGTGAATATCTCACTCCTAGCCCAAATGGCGGATATTCCAAAATTTGATTTATTGTACGTGAAAAGCACCAATTTCACAAATAATGGAAAGAAATCTGTATTTTTAAAACCGAAATAGATAGAAATATTCTGTTTGTGGAATTGATTGTTGACATAGGTTCCGCAATTTTTTTAATCAACAATATTTTTTCAACCCCTTTAACAGGGTAGGGGGTGGGAGTGACTTATTTTTTTCAACAACAACCCCTATTGAGTGACCCCTCATTTTGAAGGGTTTGTTAAAAGAAAAAGAATGACGCAAACCCGAGGTAGATATTTCACCCCTAGCCTAAATGGTGGGTAATGAAAAATTTAATTTTTGTAAAAAAAAGCCCATTTTGGAATATCCGCCATGTTAGCTAGGAGTGAGATATTCACCTCGGATTTGCGTCATTGTGTTTCTTTTGACAAACCCTTCAAAATGAGGGGTCACTCAATAGGGGTTGCTATTTGAAAAAAATAAGTCACCCCCTACCACCTACCCTGTTAGGGGGGTAAAAAAATATTTTTCATGTGAAAAATTGCGGAATCTTTGTTAACTATTATTGCCACAAATAGAATATTTCTATCTATTTCGGTTTTAAAAATACAGATTTGTTTCCATACTTAATTTACACACTGTATATATATGTGTGTGTGTGTGTGTCCGTTAGCACGATAACTTGAGCAAAAATGATCCGATTTTTATGAAATTTGGTACAAACGTGTAAACCTACATTTATTCGAAACGAGTTCGCGAACCAGCATGATCGGACTATGTTAACGGTTCCTTATGGGGTAAAAATAGGTTTTTTCCATTTTTGACCCTAAAAACACAAAATTTCACAATTCCTTACTCCATTTTGTAGAGCTTAAAAAAACAAATAATTTAGTATATTTAAGCGTTATTGTGCGCCTAATAGTTACGGAGAAAATTCCAAAAAATGTTAAATTTTATATTCCCATGTCATTCTTATGGAGAATAAGTCAACTGTTGTAGTTTGATTGTTTATGAACATATTTTGATCGAATTTGCAAAATACATTAATTTTTTACTAAACTATTAACATTTTACAACAAAAACACTTTTTACCCTCCCTGTTGCAGCAAACCTATGTGTTCGTTAAACTAATTCTATTTAAATAGGGAATAAATGTGATATTTTTAATGAGGCATTTTAGTGTGAATCCAATCAGGCAAATCGAAATTCGCTTAGTCTGCAGGTTTGCTGCGGCGGGGGTATTTATATATACTGCCCGTAAACAGTAAAGATTTTTAGGTCCTTAAAATGTTCTTTAGCTGACTCATCACATCACGCTGCAGCTTAAGCATGATTCTAACCGCTCTTTTTTGCTCCTTTAAAATGCTATCTAGATTACATATTTTTGTTGAGCCGTAGAGTGCTACGCCAAACGAGATATGTGAATGCACATGTGCAAAATATATATTTTTTAAAGTTTTCAAATCACAGTAAAAAGACATACTTCATAAAGCATGAATTCCGGAATTAATTTTACTTAAAAGTTTGTGGACATGTTTATCCCAATTCAAGTGCTGATCTAGGGTTAAACCCAAAACATTGGTACTAATTTCTTCATCAATATTTTGTAAGTTACAGCTTATTGTTGTTGGCTGCTTCTGTCTATTTTGTTTTGTCTTAAAATTTATAAATTTCGTTTTTTGTAAATCATCATCAACATACGGGTTATTAAGATAATTCCCGATACATTCCAATTCCACATAAGCGAACATTTCTGTTTGCTCTATTGAGTTGGATGATATGACCAAATTCGAGTCATCAGCATACAGACCATAGTGTTGAATTTTTATTATATATTAAAGAATCTTTCATTCCACATAGATAGCACAAAAAAAGCAGGGGCCCTAATATTGAGCCTTGTGGCACTCCGAAAACTATTGGCTTATAAGTTTAGCATGATTTAATAATTCTATTGTAATTTGTTAAGTGAGTTATTTCTACGTATTGAGATCTTTCAGTGAGATATGACGTAAACCATATCGGTTTGCTACTCCTAGTCTTTTGAAGTTTTTCAAGTAGTGTAGAATGCCCAACACTGTCGAATGCCATAGATAGGTCCATAAAAATACCAGTTGTACATTTTCCCTTATCAACCGACTCAATTACAGTTTCAATAAAAGATACAGCAACACTCACAACCGATCTCTCATCCCGAAATCCATGCTGATTATCTTCTAAAAGATTAAATTGTTCTAAAAATTTGGAAAATTGAATGTATACTGCTTTTTCATATATCTTTGAGATAGCAGGGAGCACAGATATTGGTCGGTAGTTAGATACCTTTGTCAAGTTATTTTTCTTATGTAAAGGTATTATTTTAGCTTGTTTTAATTTCCTAGGAAAAATTCCAGACACAAAAGAGGAATTTACTAAGTGGCATAGAATTTTACTAATGTTCCCTTTTACAGCCTTAATTACTGTTATAGCGATTTCATCATACCCACTAGAGTATTTATTTTTCAAAGAGTTTATGATTTTTTTCACCTCCCTATCATCAATTGGATTAAGTTCAAATTTTGGCGTATTTGTCTCAACAGTGCTGACCACATCATCAGGAGTATCAGATTGCTCTTCCAACATTGACACTGCTTTTACATCCTTGAGTTGTTTGAATCAGCCTTCAGATCTTTACCTTAAGGCTTCTTAGTAAAATTAAAACTAAACAATTCTTATTTGTTAAGCGAGGTTGAGGAATGAACACTACATTTAATAGGAAACAGTTTACTTTAATGATTTTATTATAATAAACAAATTACCTAAAATAATAAGAATCTGTACATATATTACAAAAATATGATTAACACAAGACAACAATAATAAAATAAAATAATTTACACGCATTATTGTCATAAACCCCCGACACAGAATAGCACCCCCCTTACTATACAACTAACAACAACTAAACATAATTTAATAGATACAAATATAACTGGTGTTTCGATAAAATTTTACTTACCAAACATTCGGTAACAAGTTAAAGGCTACGTGTGTAAAATTTTAACAACTGACCAAAAGTGCATCGTCGTAGCAGACTTACAAAAAAAGACTGCTACAGTGGCTCTTTTAATAAACTTTAAAAACTTATAACAATGATTTGAGCAACATTAATCTCTATAGTTGAGGTGAGCTTAATTTACCGTGTGCGTTACCTCAATCGAGACTCACTTTCATCAAAGTCCAATTACAATTAAATAAATATTAGATATGAAATCTATTCGAGTCGGTTATTCACAATTTTTACACAAGCATAAATTGATCTGTACACTAATTTTTACAGGCACAAGAGAACACTATACTCAAATTGCTCAGTTATTTTAGTATTTCTAGCGTGTAAGGGCTAAAAAGGTGAAGAAAGACACGTTTAAAAAGACGATTAGAATATCTAATTGCTTTTAAAATATCGTATAAAGCACTTTTACTCAGAATGTCTAACAATTACGATATGTCTAAGAGTAAAAGTGATCTAAAAAGTTAAAAAAATACCGTGTATAGATAAGGCATCTAACATCCAGGCACAGAGACAGCTTATTTTGGCAACATCAGATCTACTTATGGCCGATGAGCGTATTTACAAATGCTACAATACTAATTAGTTGATCTAAGGCTGAAGGTGGGACTGACTAGCTGTGTGTGGTGTGTGAGTGTGTTTGTGTGTATTGTTTACACCTCCACGCCGAGTGTTCTGTCCACGGTGTACTTGAACACTCCTCCCTCCGTGTCCGCTGGCGAAGGCGCAGGCAGCACGGGCACTGTCACGTTGGCCTTGGTGAAGAACGCCATCTTCTCTCTGTACACACACAGCATATGGTTAGTTAGTGACAAGTATTAACAATATTAAATGATAGAAAAATCATTGGTTATATTTCGACCAAAGTTCTAACTACTGCAAGTCATGATAAATACAGTGTGTAAATTAAGTATGGAAACAAATCTGTATTTTTAAAACCGAAATAGATAGAAATATTCTATTTGTGGCAATAATAGTTAACAAAGATTCCGCAATTTTTCACATGAAAAATATTTGTTTACCCCCCTAACAGGGTAGGTGGTAGGGGGTGACTTATTTTTTTCAAATAGCAACCCCTATTGAGTGACCCCTCATTTTGAAGGGTTTGTCAAAAGAAACACAATGACGCAAATCCGAGGTGAATATCTCACTCCTAGCCCAAATGGCGGATATTCCAAAATTTGATTTATTGTACGTGAAAAGCACCAATTTCACAAATAATGGAAAGAAATCTGTATTTTTAAAACCGAAATAGATAGAAATATTCTGTTTGAGGAATTGATTGTTGACATAGGTTCCGCAATTTTTTTAATTAACAATATTTTTTCAACCCCTTTAACAGGGTAGGGGGTGGGAGTGACTTATTTTTTTCAACAACAACCCCTATTGAGTGGCCCCTCATTTTGAAGGGTTTGTTAAAAGAAAAAGAATGACGCAAACCCGAGGTAGATATTTCACCCCTAGCCTAAATGGTGGGTAATGAAAAATTTAATTTTTGTAAAAAAAAGCCCATTTTGGAATATCCGCCATGTTAGCTAGGAGTGAGATATTCACCTCGGATTTGCGTCATTGTGTTTCTTTTGACAAACCCTTCAAAATGAGGGGTCACTCAATAGGGGTTGCTATTTGAAAAAAATAAGTCACCCCCTACCACCTACCCTGTTAGGGGGGTAAAAAAATATTTTTCATGTGAAAAATTGCGGAATCTTTGTTAACTATTATTGCCACAAATAGAATATTTCTATCTATTTCGGTTTTAAAAATACAGATTTGTTTCCATACTTAATTTACACACTGTATATTTTACTTTGATTGGTGAAATAACCTGCATTTTTGTCACTTCATTTATTGTTAACGTTGACGACCTTAAAATGAAGCGACAAGACATCAGCGCCCATACATTTAGCAACATTGCCGAATTACAGAAAATGTGTAAAACTGATCACACATCTGGTTTAAATCTTTACTACCAGAATTCAGAATTACATTGGCCTTGGATGAAAGGAAAACTTTCGTTAAGTCGTTTAAAGAAAGACGAACTTACTTGAATGAGATTAGATCTGGTTTCCCCTTCCCTGCTTTACTTTTCCTCAGCTTGTAGATTTCTCTAGAAGTTTTCTTCAGCAACTTTTCAACTTTCTTGTCATCTGCACTCTTTCCATCCGCCTGTAATCATAAAACGGAATAATATAAATATTGTAGCACTCCATAAGTTGTTTTCTGTATTTATTAGGTATATCTCAATATTATGTGTATCTATAAAAAGAATATTTTTATTAAAAAAATTCCTAATAATGACTGATTGTCAAATTAAATTAATTTTAGTGATCTACTTGCTAAAACTAAGTTTTGTTTCTTGCATAATGTGATTAAATAAACCTGAAATCAAAGATGCAAAATGTCCACTATTAATTATAAATTGCTTAATTGAACGAGTATGGCATTATTTGGGGAATTAAATAAAATTTATAACAAGTCAATGTAAGGGTTTGTTTTTGATATTGCTTACTTTTGTCAATGCTTGAGGCTGTCTGAATAAATCCAGCGGTGGAGTACGACGATTTTATGCTAGTGACCGATATGATCAAGTACATTAGACCTACTACCTTTTTATTAGAGGTATTTAAAAAAATGTAGATTTTTGGAGAATTTTTTTTTTGGATTTAAATAATTTTTTTCAGGCCTTGAATTGTGGATGATGCCTAAAAATAGTGTGCTCTAACTAAACATGTCCGTTATTTACGTCTCATATTATCTTGGGAGCAGCCATCGACAATGGTAGCTTTGCTCTTTAGTCTTTATTACGTTTTTACCTCTAAATTACTCTTAACCCAAAATAAAATTTTTTAGTGTTTTCGTGTTTATGTTCATCTTATTTCAGTCAATTAATGTACCAGTACTGTATAAAACTGTTGTATCCATTAAATAAAATATATATTATTCATTGTTGTGTTTTTATCAATACAATCTCTCTTATTCCAATTGATACAGATAATCAACACAATGAAGTCAAGTACCTGAGCTATAAGATTCTGGAACTGCTGGTCCTCCAGTACCCACGCCGCCAGCTCCTGGTCACCCTTCTCTCTGGCCACCTCCAACCTAGCCTTGAGGTCTCGTAACCTCTGCAGCTCGTCCTGCAGTGCTTGTTGTCTCGTCTGCTGTGCTCGCAGGTCCAACTCCAGGTCTAGGCTGGTGCGCGGGCCATGGTTGTGTGCACGAGGTCCGTGACTGCGCGGCCTACGTCCAGCCCAGCGCAGCGACCGTCGCTCCACAGCTCCTCGCTGGAACGGTCCTCCACCACCGCCACTGGTACATCTTCGGTGGTAAAGTGGCATCGAACTGTCACTGTCGCTTCGGTTTAGCTGAAAACAAACGATCGTGTTACTTAGCTAACAACAATTTATTGAAAAATAACGAACAAATCAAAGTATATTTTACAGCCTTTTCTTAGTTATGTTGTGACTTTTGGATACTAGAGTAGACTTCCCATTGAAATAGACCAGCTGTAGCAGTTTATTGTGCAAATGGAACATGTTGATCTAACTATAACAATGTGTGATAACTTCTAAATTCAATTTTTTCTAATAGTTAATAATACAGTACATCGATAACATAGGTAACCTGAGTGATGAGATAATATTCAGCCTAATAAGTTGTCTTTTAACTTTTGCTTGGTTTAAAAATTGCTGTATGAGACAAAAAGCAGTACTCGACCACAGCACGTTCTGTTGGTGGCCCAAATAAATAATGCTCATTTTCATTTTAAACTAGAAAAGACTACAACTTTATAAAAGGTATGTCTATATTACAATCCCTAGTTTAAGGTTATGTTGTTTTAAATATGATACACTTAAACCTAATTGACCCGGTGGTTTTTGTTAAATTCCAACTTGAGATAAATAGTTCAATATGCCAACCTCTGACAAGAACAGAAATCCTTTAAAATCACTTTTATTTAAGGAGTACTAAATCAACAGAAATGTAAAATCATCTAGCATATTTTTAGTTGATCAAATCAAACAAACAGTAATATTTACCCTGCAGATGTACTGGTTCTTGGCCACTGGGGAGAATGTCTGTGACCGTTTGATGACAATGTTGGGCTGGGAGTTAGACTTGACACCACGAGGCAGGAATATACATTCTGTGTTGGTCTCCTTGTCTTCCGTATCCACTCCTTCTGACTCATTCTGAAATACAACAATAGTAAGTAAGCTTCACTGAAACTAGAGGTAGGATAAAAATATAAACATTCCTATACTAAATTTTTTGTCAGGTATTACCTTCATCGTACAGTACGTTTCCGAGCACTACTGTTAAAGGAAGATACAATTAGTGTTATTTCACTTGCTCGTTCCAACAGTTCAGATGAGGTTAGAAAATATCATGATATTCTCAGTAATCTATTACCAAGTTACCAAATTATTTTGAGATACTTGCTGTTAAGAGGAAGACAATAATAGCGTTATTTCACTTGCTCATTAATAAAAGTTGAAATTACATTAATAAATAGTATTTTAGTTATCTATTACTAAGTTAACATTTTATTTTGTGATGCTCAATGTCAATGTCAAGAGGTAGACACAATCAGTTAGTAGAATGGTTATAACGACACCCACTACTAATTAAAACATAGAAGCTGCATATAATATTCATCTAGTTTTATATGAAACAGGAAAATAGCCTTTGGTTCAAAATTACTATAGGTCGGCCGGTTAGAAAACGACCTCCTCGTAGCATTGGTGCAAGATAGGTGAGACAGACTATGGCTCTTCCCCCACTCCGCTGCTGCCCCACCATTCCTGAACACACGCCCCCTTAAATTGCAACCTAAATATTAACAGCAATTAAATTATACAGCTGATCAAAATGTAAACAAATACGCAGAGAGGGGGAACCCTCCCTCGCCGTTACCTCCCCTACATGCGCTAAAAATTTCACACAGGTCGCTTTCTAACTGGCCGACCTATACAGTAGTTAACAAAACAATTACACAGATTAGTTTCTGTTTAACATTATTGCTCTACAAAGTTATTTGAGCTCACCGGATGTTCAAGGACTTGCTCCAACTCCTCGTGACAGCAGATCTCAATTCCTTCTTCATCCTCATCCTCCTCTTCATCATACTCTTCTTCGTCTTCCTCATCCTCTTCACTGTCCAGCTCATCCAGCCTCAGACCAGCCAAACTAGCAGCTCCCTCACAGCCTGCAATCACAACTGAAATTAAATATATGTCATGTCCAATTTAAAATTGTTAACAAATAAGGTACGATTGGAAGAAAATCATAAACTAATTATTGCTTAGTAGAGAAAACACAACAAAATCTGCATTTCCGACAGATTATAAAAACTGTGTGAATTGAAAACTAGCAGGGAATCGAAGGAAACAGAAGGATGGGAAGAAAAATGCCAGGAACACATGGGTTTGGACTGCATTCCCTAGAAGCGTAATTTCAGTACACTTATACATTGTCTCTCAGTCCAAAATACCACTGACTTTGATAGAAATAAAAAAATATATATACATAGATAATTTCTCGCTATACCTTGATTCCTCGTCAGGGTGGATGTTTGGGACGAGATGATGGTGGATTCATCACTGCTCTCCTCGCGTGGCGCAGCGACTGCTGTAGGTAGGGGGCCTCTGGTAGCGGTAGGGACAGGACTAGCGGACGGTAGAGGAGTGTCTGACTGCATGAAGCGGAAACTCAAGATATTGTACCACCTCTGCCAGGGTGACTCAAGGCTGAAGTCTGCTAGGCTCACTTGCGCACAACCCTGTCAACATCATCAAGATAAATTAGAAACCAAGATAAATTTGTGTATTTCCTGCTATACATTTTGTTTGTAGCAAGTGATGCAGAAATATAAGTTACAATATAACCTTTTTCACCCAGATCAACCACCACTCTGGTTAACCCTTCATTCTGACAATTCTTCATTCGCTCTTTTATTAACCCTTCAACTCTGTGGGCAAATTTAGAAAAATACACATTTTTTGTCGGCCGGTAATTTTAAGGGAACCATACCTCACACACTTCTAAGAACTGATTGAACATCATTTCTGTTTCCCCCTTCGTACTTCCCATTATAAATCAGTTGCAGTCTGAAGAGTTACGTAGCACGGAGCTCGCTGCCGTGTGTCACCGCTCACACTACTAGCGTACTTCTAGGTTCGTGGAGTGTAGTTCCATGTGTCATCTATGGGTGTTATCGTTTTTGTTTGCTATACATTTTTTATAAATATGTCAAGTAAGGATTTTATTTATTTAATGTACATTTTCATTGATTATAAATGGTTTTTATTTTATTTTTTTACCAATATTTTCTAGGAATCTGTCATAAAATAGAATTGTCCCGGCAAGTCTACTCTAACATTAACAATTATTTTACAATATATGTATGCAATTGATACAAATACAGAAATTAGTCCAAATTCAGTGCTTTTTTCTAACCCAGTACAGTAGACTCCCTCTTATCCGGACTCCTCGGGACCGAGGCCAGTCTGGATAACGGGTTTTCCGGTTAAACCGAAATCCCCAAAAACTCGATAAAACGGACTGTTATTGTGATATTCAACTTAAATTTAGGAGTGCATTGTATTTAGACACGTAATCACTGGTCTCAAATCTTTCCTTGAGAACAGTCGTTTCAGTACTAGTACTGCCCACTTCCTGCCGATCTAGTCCGGTTAAACCAATGTGCTGATAAAAATTGTCCGGTTAAAGAGATGTCATTTCCGCCGAGTGTAGTCCGGTTAATCCGATGTCCGGTTAAAAGGTGTCCGGATAAGAGGGAGTTTACTGTATTCCTATATCCTAGTGTATAAGACTGGATTGGCAGAGATGTAAGCTACTCACCAGACACTCAGTTTCCTTGGTGAGAGACAGTGACCAGACGTTGATCTGTAGTGTCTTGGTACACAACTTGTGTAGTGGAACTTGTAGAGGGAAGCTTTGACCAAACCTGGGCCTGTTGAGGTCTGATACTGGCTTGGTACAGCAGGACAACACGTTGCTGCCTCCGCTGGGCAACATCACTGCCTTGATGTACCTGCAGAAAACATCACACTCAATAACATATTTCCAACAACGAAATACAAAATATTACATGGGCCTCCCAGTTCCATTCTATCACAATTAGGGATGGAACTTTTAGTTCAGTACAAGATTTTTATTTTCTTCCTGGCATTCTGGACAGGATTTTTCTTCCAGTGTAAAAAGGAAAACTTCAGATTGTTTAAAATCCTTATTATTTATCATGGGGACAACCTCTTCTCCCGCAATAGCGACAAATTTATGACCAACTTCTGCAATTGTGGAGATATCATCGACGCTAAACCCCATGCCAATTAAATTGTGATCCCCCGATTGCGGGATATCATCATTGGTACTTCAATCATAACGATATCGTTAACAGTTTGAACAAATCCCATCTCCAGAAAATCCCAAATTAAAAGAAATCCCTTCAAACATATATTTCCCTGGAAATTTACAAGCTGTTATCTATAAAAACAAGCAAAAACATCCTTAATCAAAATTAAAATCAAAGAAGACAATACAAAACTGTAAAAAAATTAAAATTGTAATAATGTAACAAATTTACCATTTATAATGAAATAATTTACTTAATATAGAGGTTTATGGATATTGTTATAAAACTCACACTTGAGAAGATTCAGGAATACAGAGGGCAGACAGGTTTCTCGCTCGTTCAATACCAACGTGCAGAACACTGTCTTCTACTGAATACCTGTAATGCATACCAAAATAATGCTATAAACTTTTGTTTGAATAACGTTCCTACATCAAAATTTGTGTTATAATCTAACATACAATTTTAGTTAAACGACCATAAAAGTAATTATTGACATTAGGAGATAAGGAATTGATACTCAACTAAGTTAAATCCAGGAAAAAAATCAAGGTAGTTGAGTGAGTACAAATAGTTCATAGCAAATTTAGTTTGAGATTTCCCTCCTACACAAGGGGTAGGAGTGAAGTGATTTTCAGCGGGTGGTTAAATAGTTATAAATTTTGTCAACTAGTGCGAGAGAAACAGAACTTCTCAGTCACCCTAAAAAGGCGGTCAGTAAAAATAAACTAAATTAGTTATTCATAATATTTTTGCAGTTTGTTGTTGATTTTAAATAGTACAAGTAAACTAATCAACCTATTGAAAAATACTGCCTGTTCAACATTAATCAATACCTCATACAACTCCTTAAACCCTTTTTTCTTGTATTGGGCAAGTTAGTTTTGTATCCATTCATTCTTCAAGGATGCATTCCTAAGCAAACTGTTCTAACCTCCAAAAACATACATGATGATTTAAAATTATTATTTTCCTATTATAGATGCGTAGTCGTAGTTTACCTGAGTTTGATCTGGACCTGCGCAGTGTCGAGGTTCATATCACTGAGCGTGCGCTGGCTACTCTTGTTGGATGCCTCAAACACCCCCGAGTCTCCGGCCACACTCTCGTCACTCACAGAAGGAGGTGTAGTTGTCTCACAGATGGGTGACAGTGGCGCACACACTATATTGCCTCCTCCCTCCGACATAAGGGTGGGGGGTGGCTCATAGGCGGGGGGTGGGGGACATGGCTCTCCTCTCAGCAACCTCTCCACTCTACAAAAAGATGCAAAATCAGTACTGATACATAAATCTCTGTTGTTTCAATACCGACCACACAAAAATTAAGGGTCTGTGGGTTCCTGACATTTTATAGTCGGGTCAGGTCCTCAGTTGACGCAAGGGCTCGGTCCGAGTCAGAAATAGTTCTTGGGCAAAACTAGAGCTAATTCAAGTCAAGCTGAGCTTTTACTTTTACGATGTTACTGTGACTGGGGAAAATATTCACAAAAGAAACCGCGAGCTGAAGTAAAAATATCTGGCCGCAGACCCCTAACCTAGTTATATGTTTACCTATTACAACAATTATCAGTATTTACCACCTCATAGTTTTGGACAGTAATTGTCCTTTCATTGTGAAAATACAGCTTGTAGCCTACTGTTATCAACTTTTATAAATTTAATTTGCAATAAAAAAGAAACAAATTTCAATTTCAAAGACAACTATAAGGGAACATTGTACTTTTTCTGGGCGTAACAGGTTAAACCATTTTTGCTTTAGCTCAATTTGACAGACGCCTATCTCCATTTAAGATGGCAAGTGGTTGCTGCAATGCATTTGCTACCGTGCACAGTTTTCCCTATTGAGTTGTATTATACAGAAGTAGCACACCATCTCATGGTTGTCAATCATCAACAGGGGATGGTCAGGTAAATAGAAGGTAGAATAACTGAACATCAGACAAATAAGACTTTACTGGGACTTAACTGTAAAAAAAGTAGGAGTTCAATATTTAGGTGGTCCATGAGATATTTGGACTCTTGTTTAAGTAGAGTTAACTCACCGCCTGTGAAGATCCACCATGTCTATAGGCTTGTCCTGCGTACTGGCCACTGCTGGTCCACCGTAGATGTCAGTAAAGCTGAGACCACTGCTGAGGCTACCCTTGCTGCTAGTAGTGCTGAGGCTGCCCAGACTGCTACTGCTGCTGACACTCAATGTAGAGGCTGACAGTGTACGTAGCTGAGACTCCAGCTGTGTCATGGTCCTCAGTGCATCACGTAGTTGTGACAACAGCGCCTGCTTGCCTTCATGTAGCCTCAACCTACACAGTTACAACATATAATGTAGAGGCTGACAGTGTACGTAGCTGAGACTCCAGCTGTGTCATGGTCCTCAGTGCATCACATAGTTGTGACAACAGCGCCTGCTTGCCTTCGTGTAGCCTCAACCTAAACAGTTACAACATATAATGTAGAGGCTGACAGTGTACGTAGCTGAGACTCCAGCTGTGTCATGGTCCTCAGTGCATCACATAGTTGTGACAACAGCGCCTGCTTGCCTTCATGTAGCCTCAACCTACACAGTTACAACGTATACTGAAGCAACTTTACCCCATCTAGGTGCATAAACAAATTTTTGTTTGAAAATTGAGCGTGCATGGTAAAGTTAAAGAAATTCTTAACAGACAAAAGACGAGCTTTTGTAAACTGTTTGAGGTAGGTCAAGGTTTTAAATTATAATATTTAACAGTAGAAAACCCTGTGAGGTTGAAAAATTATTTTTTAACAAGATTTAACATGGAAAACAATGCTTTACCTGTCAGTAATTGCTCTATTGCTCATTTCTAGCGCATTGTTGAGGTCTTGTTCTAGCCTTCGAATTTCATCCTGGAATAAAAATCAAACAAGTTACATTTTGATAAACATTTGTTTCTGATAATAGGACTAATAGTTGATTAGTTATGACATGTTCTTCCTGTTAACCAAAATATGAAACAGAAAATGATTGATTACATGTTTTGTTTACTTTTTTGTTTCAAAGAAAAACATTTTGAAAAGTTTCAGACATAAATACTAAGTTGTAAATAAACTTGGGGGGGGGAGTAAAGCTACCCTTTCCTTTGCTACTTTGACCTTTTGACCTACAGTAGCCCTCCTCATCTCAGCATTAGGCTCTTGGTGAACCTTAGCAGCAGTATTGTAATCATTTCCCTCATTCCCTTTAGCCTCATGGTGTTACTTGTGAATGTATAGATACCTGTATGTGTACCATCTCCTGAGAAGACCGTGACCGTGGTGTGATCGCCCTCAGTTCCCGCAGTAGTTGTTCCTTCTCCTGGAACAGCAGCAGTCTGTCCTTGTCACTCTCGGCCTGGCCCGGCGCCACACTCTCCTCCAGGTCTGCCAGTTGTTGTTGAGTGGCCTGCACTCGCTTGCGTGCCTCGTCGTACTCTAGCCTCATCCGCGCCATCTCTGCCAGCCGCGTGCCCATGCCCACCAGCTCCCCGGACAGGTCCGTCTGTGACGCCGTACTCAGCTTGTCTGTCGCTGCTGGTAGACTCAACGTACTGACGTCTGGTGAACTCTCACACAGCTGTAGCCTCGTCAGGTCATCCTTCAGCTTGGCCAAGCTCCTCATCAGCTCCACCTTCTCTTGCTCCCCGGAGCTCAGACTGCGCTGTATCTCTCTCAGCTCCGCCATGATGGCCTGGGCCTCCGTGATGTTATAGCAGCCACCTTGCGGCCCGGACAGTTTCTGTTCCACCCTGCACAAAACATTGGTTATCTACATAATTGGCATCAGGGAACAGTCCAAACTCTGGTATAGACACTATTTTACATTGACCTTATGTTAGATATCCTCACTGATAACCATATAGGCCTACCCAGAGATTAAGCCATCTGGGTTCAGTTACAATCTTGCTTAGAACAAAAACCAGCAAATTGTGAATGAACCATTTTTTGGCTTGCTTTAACAGACATGTATTCTATTCTTAAATGGTTGGGGTTGATAATTCAAAAATGGATAATTGATTAATTCTGGATACTCATATATCCGAGAAACATCAAAACCGTAGGTAATGCTGATCAAATATTGTCCAAGCCTTCACAATGCGCTTTACAGCAGTGTCATACACTGTGCCAGCTTAAAAAATCACACAACTTGGACAGGTTTGCGTATTAATAATGAGGTATAACTATAAAAAGTTACTGCTACTGGCCACTACGCTACTTACGAGACAAGAGTTTCCACTCCGCGTTGCGTGCAGGACATCTCTGCTCTGATCTGTTCTAGCTCACGTTTCAGTCGAGACACTCTGTTGCGAGCGTGGGCGACGTCGTTCTTGAGTAGGTCCGGGTCGAACTTGGTGGACACACTGCTCGAACTCGAACACACTGTGCAAATATTACATAGTAAACATAATAACATAACTTGTTTTATATGTGTGTATGTGTGTGTTGTAGGTGTGAACACTTAACAGTCTTTGTAGGGATTTTTTTCCCATTTCCACATATTTTAGCCACTATATCGTACCATTGTACTTGTTTTATAAAAAAAAAATTATAATATATTTGAGTAATTAAAACATATAGTTTACAAGAATATAGAATTTAGAATTTTTTTCATCCATTGCTACAAAAAAAATTGTAGCGTGTAAGTTCATATTTTATTCCATATAGAATTCAATTAGCTAACAAATTGGACATACCGTTGTGGAAAAAGATAATAAATCAACCAGCTTTTAACAGGAAAAGGTGGGGTGGTGGTGGGTGCTGATTTAGACTCGTAACTCTTCCATAATGATAGAGTGGTGTAGCCTGTAGCCTGTGTAATGAGCCATTATTGGCAACATTCATTAGTTATATCCACAACTACACAGGCCATGAAACAAGAGGTCGTTCCTCCTGACCTGGACCCAGCAACCACCTTCATCACCTTTATACAGTGGAAACTCGATTAACGTCAATCTCTGCTATTCGTCTATCCATAAATGTGTATTTCCCTATTTTCACTCCAGATTTTTTTATATGTGTTAGCATAAACATTATAAAAAGTATATATATTATATTCTGTCTAATTATTGTGCACACTGTGTGATATTCTTTCCAAAGTCATTAGAACTATCCAAACTGAGGTAATTTTTAAAGGAGTTTCTTTAATTTGTTTATTCAGTATTGTAACAGTCGTTGTCACTAGGATAATGTTTGGGATAAGTTTCACTGTATACAGGTAGGTGTCATTATATTTCCCGCGTTGATTTACAATAAGCCCTTGATTGAGGAAGTTCATTTGTTTTTTTTATATGTTTTGGTATGTTTTTTTTTGTATTTTTTATATTTTTTTGTTTGTAAAGGGAACAGTTTCAACCCTATTATTGTTCTTATCACTTGGCTACACAGACAATTATAAGCATAAATATAGTTTTATTGCAAAAAAAATTCTGTTCACCCTATAATCAAAACAATAAGAAAATTTATTCCCAGATAATAATGTTAAACCTTTTTGCTGAAGTCTGTATATTGTCCTCTAGGGTAGTTTTATAGTGACCAAAAACATAATAATTTTGTGGGATTCATCCAATACCAGTGTTTAAACCGACTTCCTCTCTTTTTGAGGGATTTATCTATAAATTAGTGTTTTGTTTAGATACATATTATTTCTTCCTACTGAGTTGTTTTCACCCTCCTACTCCTACTTGTTGTAGCACAAACACGGACTTTGGGGTCGACGTAGAATAAAAAAAACTTTAAATTATAAATAGTCTGAAAACACATCACGGATCCGTACTGGCAACAAAATTTTTATAGCAGAATTCCAATGCCCTTTTAAGTCTCACTTATGTTTCACATGTAACACAAACTACAATGGTTGTGTACTCACAGCTGGTGCGGGAGGTGTTGAGAGTGCTGAGGACATTGTTGAGATGGTTGTACTCATCTTGCGCCAAGTACAACCTCTGCTGCTTTACATCGTAGATTTCCTTCTTGGCCTGCAAACAAAACATAATGTCAGCAACATGACCTCTCAACATAAATAACAAAACATACGTCAGTCATATAACAATACAACAAAGTATTTGCGTCCTCAGCTTCATAACCTCTCAATGTACAACAAAACATATGTCAGTGATATAACCTCTCGACATACAAAAAATATATGTCAGCTACATAGGCTCTCAACGTACAACAAAGCATACGACATAACCTCTCAGCATACAACAAAGTATATGCATCCTCAGCTTCATAACTGTTAACGTACAACAACAAAAATAAATGGTCAGCAACATAACCTCAACATACAAAAAAAGTATATGCGTCATCAGCTTCATAACCTCTCAACTTAAAACAAAACATATGTCATAGGACACATAACCTCTCGACATACAAAAAAACATATGCATCTATAACCCCTAAACCTACCACAAAACATATCCATCGTCAGCTACATAACTTCTCAACGCACAACATTCAAAACATACGTCAGTCACATAACCTCTCAAAATAGAAGAAAACATATGCATTGTCAGCTATTATCTCTCAAAATACATAGCATCTCAACATACAACAAAACATTTGCATCGTCAACTACATTACCTCTCAACATACAACAAAACATACGAGATATATAACCTCTCCACAAAACATCCCTCACCAGCTAAGTAACCCCTCAACATACAAAAAAAAACCATAGTCGTCAGTTTCCTAAACTTGTTTGAGTAAAAATTCCCCAATACCAGTCAGATCAAATGTACATCAAATGACCGAAGTGAGAGGTTCTGAAATCGTCTTTTATTATGTTTATTTATCTTTCCATTGACACATTTTTGTAATCAAAAATGTTTATGATAATAAATCACTCACATAAATTTAAAATAATTGTATTCATATAGAGTATATTTGACGCATTCTCAATGTTATCATCGATTGACTGTTGTCGCGATACCGGCATCTACTACTACTACTACCGCTACTGTCCTACTCACTATGTCGTAGTAGTAGAAGTAGGCGTAGTATCCGTGTTGGGGGACGAGACATTGCATGATCACCGCAGCCACCATCGTCACATCACCAGTCACCACAGCCTCACAGCCACCCCGAGTCTGACCTTGTACGACCTTGGATAGGAATGTTGCCCCCCACCCCTTCCCGCGCCCGCCCTATTCGCACAACTATGCCATTGGGCCCGACATCTTCCACATTCCATTGTACCGGGCCACGCCGCACGCCGCCCGCCCCCGGCGTCCGGAATTCCATTACGACTTTGGAATTCCATACGGATTAATTCGGATAATCCAGACAGTACAATAGGGACGATATTCATTGTAGGATCCCACTATTGAAGGCTATCTTCAATTCAAATCTCAGCTACGAATCGAATTATGTCAAAATATTTGTTATTTCACTGCGTCTGTAGTAAATTGAAATAGAAAATAAATAACATCACTGTACAAAAATTAAACTTTCAATCAACCTATGATTTGAAACTTAAAGCCAACTTGTGTAATCAGTTACATTGGCATGTTTATGTATGAACAATAAATTGGCAGCTACACCTTGTAACTTATCACAGTATAAAAATATGTAGCTATTTATATGATTTTGTAAATGTATAACAAGTATCAATGCCAATCAATTTTAGACGTCGAAGCACGTGCTCTTCAGAAATCGACCAACATACGATTCCTGTCGTCTTTGATTTATGTGGCGGGTGCTGATGAATGTTAAAAATAAACATTTTATGCGACAAACTAAGGAGCGATTTTACGTAGTAGCTCGGACCCTACAAACATTTGAACAGACTTGCACTAATTCCATTCAGTTCTCTTCAGTAATCAATTGATTCCAAATCAACTTTACCATTCAAGCAAAGATAATGTTCTCGCTGTACGGAACACCGTATCGCTGTGCTTGTACTTGTTCTATTTACAAGTTATGTGCCTGACCGGTGACCGGTTATAAAATCAGTACTATTGCCTATCTAGAGAATGTCCGCATCTGAAAGCATTCCAATCTCCCTCACGGCAGCAACTTCACTTGACGGCTGTTGGAATGCTGGATGAGATCAACATATCTCCGATGATATTTGAATGCACAAGATTTATACAAGCACTGTGTGGACTATCGCTGACTATAGAATATTTCCATATCGAAGTTGTGACCAGTTTAAGAATGAGAATGGAAGTAAATTGAAACAACACCAGTGTGTTGAAGCTAAATAAAGAATCTTTGACGATAACTTTTTCACCAAATCAAACGAATAACTTACTTAAAGCTATGACATCTATGGCACATCGATCATCAGAGTAAAAGAATTTAAGAGATAGAATTTTGACCGTAGCACGATCTGCAAATCACTCTGAAGTCTATTTAAACAAATAACTAAGATACGTCCATATAGACGGGATAACTTCAGTATTTAAAGTCAATGACACAATGTATTAAATAAGTTAAATCGTCATTGTGTATACACTTCTTTTCAATAACAATTCAGTTATCAATTGAAGATAAACGCATGCATGGTTAAAGTAATCCTTCTAACTCCTCAAATGATCAACTTCGCCATGGCTTATGGCTTCAAAAATGGGCCATGGCTGGACAGATAATAACATTTTTCATCGAGGGCATTACATTTAGTCGGCTGGAGTTACAACCAATTAATAAATCATTAAAATTTATTTTGTGGGCTGTGCAGAAAAGTGGATCAATTTGGAAAATTAAATTTAAAACCTTGACAAGAAAATGTCTATATCTGCAGTGAACGCAACGTATATTGACGTAACAAACAGTACTGAGAAAGCTTATTCTCGGAAGGCTGGTCTGAAATGTAAGTAAGGGGTCACGACAAATCGGTTACCACTGACTGAAGACTTATAACGTTGCTTACAACACCGCTAGGTAAACAACCGCAATATGACCATTCAGTAACATAATGTACCGTATACACGTAAGTGTTGACATAGGGATTCTACTGTACACCAAAAGAAATATAAGTCTCCGTAAACCTATCTTGAAAATCTAATTTGAATATTAGAACAGAAACTATGGATCATAAACTTAAACAAATTATGTCACTGGCCCGAAAGTAAACACAATTACATCAATATTCAAATGGAACTGTAACCCCAGCTGTTACAGCTATTAGTATAGACATTCGAGCTAATGACGTCATTTGTTTATGTTTATGACCCATGCCGTTTCTGTTCTAGTATCCGCGGCAGCTAAAACGTACGTAAACAAAATTAAATGATGTCAGGGTGAAATTATGGGGTTCCACAAGGATCAGTACTTGGTCCGATTCTATTAGTGTTATTTTTAAATACGTAGATGGTTCAATTTCATAACAAATGTCGTAGTCAAATTGTGGGGTTCCGCAAGGATCAATGCTTGTTCCGATTCTATTTGTATTATTTTCGAATGATGATTCTATTCCTTTAAAAATAAAATGCCGTAGTCAAATTGTTGGGTTCCGCAAGGATCAATGCTTGTTCCGATTCTATTTGTATCATTTTCAAATAATTAATAATAAATTATTCTAGTATTAGTATTGTATATAGTATGTGGGATGAGTTTGAAAAATCAATTAATTTATTGTTCGTTTCTGAACATAAGCGAAAGTGTGCATTTAGAGATGGCATGTAACTAACTTCTTCAGTGGACGATTGAGAATTGAACCTAGAGTTCTTGACAACAAACAAAATTCCTAGATTATAGCGATCTCTTAAATTAGATTAGACCATGTGACATTAGTGTACCGAGCCGGCAGATTCACTCGCAATGTCCTTGTATCACCCATCCTCAGCATCTCTGCGTCTCTGGACCGCTTTCGTTCCATCTCCGGCCCCGCTCCTCTCTCTCGCTCCTCTCCACTCCATTATTTACGGCCGGGTGCAGTAAAAAAGCTGTTATCAACTAACACGCATCTGGCTACCGGGCTGCGCCGCATTAAAAACCAATCTTATGGTAATAGCTGGCCTCGCTCCTTATTTACATTTTAATTTTATTGGTCCTGTTTACTTTAACAATGGTACGGGCTGGATCTACACTCGAACCTACCGGAGACGATAACTTACAGGCTTGGAATGTGTATATGGAATACTGATTAGTTGTTCCGACAGGTTTACATTGTTATACGTTGTTCCATTTCCGAAATTCCTTTCCTATAAGAACTCGTCGACTCTACCACTACTGAATCCTCAAAGAGTATTTCCCACGAGATTTACCTCAGTCAATGAGTTTTTGACGTGATTTGTGATTTGTTGTAGCTGAATTGATTTAGTTCTTGCCTGGTAATCAGAATGTCACCTTATCAATCTTGATCAAATTCAGAATGTTAATGGGTAAAGTGTCTGGTCTGGCGTTGTTCAAATGTTTATTGCAGACATTTTCCATCACAATGGTAAAAATAACAATACACAACGTTTCGTGATCTGGAATCTGATCCCGGCCTCAGGTGAAAAAAGCTTACTAACACATTACAAATAACAATAAACAAAACCCTTTTTTGTATGTTGTATCATGAATTGACTGCTGTACAGTGTCTTTATTTGACTGACTCTCTGTGGTGTATTTCAACTTAGGTTTGGTTTTTGTGTATTGTTAGTTGTAATGTGTTAAATTTTTCGCCTGAGGACGGGATCAGATTCAGGATCCCGAAACGTTGTGTTTTTTACCATTGTGATGGAAAATGTCCACAATAAACCTTTGAACAACATTAACTATCACCATCATCAACAATGAACTTCAAACAAAGAGCTGATATTAGTCAGCAAAGCAGCCATAATTCATTGAACCACCAGCCTTCACTTATCTTCACCATAAATACTCGTGGTGTATCAGCTTTGTGTAACTAATCTCTAATTCCACATTATGCATAGTATGAACTATGTAATATACCGTAGTTGTGTTGTTGCACAGGTCCAAGGCCACGGTGAGTCAGGCGTGAGGAATGCTATCTCTATGATTCATATAGTTACATGTGCGCTGACTTGCT